AGCGGCGGTGGCTGCTGCGGTGGCGGCTGCTGCGGCGGTGGTTGCTGCTGCTGTTGGTGTGGAGGCGGTGGCGGGATCGGGGGCTTGGGGCCACCCTGGACCGGGCCGGGACCCATGGGTCCACGGTTCTGATTGAGGCCCATACCGGGCGGCGGGGAACGGAAGTCATGGAGGCCACCTCGACCACCGCCTCCTCCGCGTCGGTGGAAGCCACCACCGCCACCTCCGCGGCTCCGGAACCGATCTCGAGACATGTCTGTGATCAAGGGGCGGTCAAGACAGAAGCGGAGAAGACGCTCAGGGAACGTAGAGGCCACCTTGCTTCGCACAAGATGGCGGATGACACAGGCTGCGCGCCGTCTTTGTCCTCTTCTTATATAGGCCAGCTGGGATGGCTCCGCCCGTTTCTTGATCGGTAGCTCCAATAGCCAATTGCAAATGCCGTACTTGATGACACTAAGTTACGAAGCGCTAACCTTTTTATTGGCTCCTAGGTGAGAGGCGGGAGTAATGTTGGCCAATGAGCGGAAAAGGAGTTGGCTGTGGACCACTATGATTTGCTGGGAGAAATTTGAATGGGTTCGGCGGACCAATTTTCCCTTGAAAGCAAATAGCAAGGGCTCTATCAGCTCCGGGGGAGAGGTGTTAAAGGGCCCTTTGCTTTCTTGATTGCTCTGGGAGCAGTCTGCTTGTACCCTTGCCCAGAAAGAACAGGCATTCTCTGGTTCAAAAGCATGAATTAAGTGCCTGCTATCTATTCTTCCTTGTGCTGGGCCAGTGAAATTAGAGAAATAAAATGTTATCGATTTCATACACAATCTCACTGATTTTGTTTTGGAAGCTCACCGGAGTACAAGTTTGTCCAGCAGTATAAACTCCGCAGTAGAGTCAAGTGGGTGCACTCTTTGTTAAGAAAAAGAGTCCTTGATTTTGTGTGTGTATTAGTGTGTATAGACTAATAATTTACAAACACAACGGAAAATATAAGATTTTTCTTAATTCCACTACCACTCATTTTATGAACAGACTAAGATACTTTAAAATTATATTAAAATATCTATTTGGAATCATCCAATGAACAGTATAAGCTTACTTAAAAACCTCCAACTTTTTTGAAGTGCACCAGCCATATTATATAATAATCCTCCCAGTTACTGTCATCAGTGAACCTTTTGGTGGATCATTCCTCCCTCAATATTAGCTCATGGCTTTTGTCTTCTTTTCCACCTCTATTTTTGTTCATCATCCAATATTTATGTGAATGACCACCCAATACTCTTGTCAATTCTTTACCTCTTCACCTCCAATAATCTTTCCTTCCATCCTATGTCAGAAGCTCCACTCCCAGACTGTCCCCACTGGTCATCCCTGCGTTTATTATTGCCAGTAAGAATTCCATCTCTAAAATCTCTATTTCAAGAATTCCAACTGTCTGATTATAGTAAGTCTGATTCTTTGACTTCATCTAAATCTCCAAACCATTAAATTTATTACTTTTTCACTATCTCTCACATTCTTATATTCATGACTTGTGTCACACAGTTTAGATATTACGATTGCCTACAAAAACAACTCTTGTTTTCCTCTTTCTCCATTATACTCACCTGGTAAAACCTCAATTATAGTTGGACCAAACAATTTCCTTCTCCAATAAGGGCTGAGGCTTTTGCTTTAAATTCTTGACCACGAGCCTCAAAAGAGCATTAGACTTTTCCTGGCAGTCGTACTGAATTTCCCTATTAAGTTCATTTTCCCACGTCCAGAGAGAGTATATTTCACACCTCTGTTCAAACTCCTACGCATTCTTCTCTCCACCATAACTAATGACTTCTCATATATGAGAAAATAAAAATCAGAAAGGAACATTCTCACCCAACTGGAAAGATACAAGCCTACTTGATTTGTAGTGCGGGGGTGCAAAAAATAACTTTCTTCCTACCTTCTAAGTTCTTCTGGCTAGGCTAATAATCAAATTAACATGAAACATTACACAGGAGAAAATGTCCAAAATTTATTATGGATGTACATTTGAGGGTGCCATAAGATATGAGACCTGAAGACACGTTGAGCAATTGAGGTTTATATGCCATTTTAGAAAAAGGAAAAGGGGATCGGGGTCTGGGATTTCAAAGGAAAACTTGGCAATTCCCAGGTAGATGAGAAAGAGCAAATGCGATAAAAAATAAAATAACAAAAATAAAAAAATTATTTTGTTGGGCCACTCAGAAACAATGAGACACAGAAAGAAGTTCAACAAACAGGCTTTGCCACATTTTTTCCTTGCCTGCCACATTTAGTTTATATTATAATGCCAAGATGTTGCTTCTTTAAGCAGGTTTTCTATTTTAATTCCTTTAGACAAGAAGTGGAAGGATCAAAGGTTCTTTCTCAGTCTTTTATTTCTTAATAACCAACTTAAAATCAATATTCCAAAAGGCACATTTTCTGGTGGCAAACCTTTGGTCCCCATCTTTTCTTCCATACTCCTAACACCATGAAAGATGTGTCTTTGCCCCTATCCAGTGGCAAAACCCCCTGGTGCTGTGGATCCCACCCCTTGTGCCTTTTCTAGGACTTTTCCTTGCTGTATCACCAATTACTTCTATGGGATCCTTACCATCTGAAAAATAAAACCTTCCCTTTATCCTATCGTTTCATTTCTTCACTCTTTGCAACAAAACTAAAACGAGTTGCACTAGAGGTCTCCAATTCCTCACCTCTATTTCCTCTTCAGTCCACTTCAATCTATTCACCCTTCTCCTCTTGAACTTGCCAAGGATATCAATGATTCACATGTTTCCAAATCCAATAAACACATTATACTCATCTCTTTTTACCTGTTAGCAACATTCAACATAGATGGCGCTCTGCCTTTTATGAATCACTTCTCACTGGCCTCTGAAACCACGTTCTCATAATTTTCCTCCTACCTCAGTGATCTGTTTCTGACTCCTCCCTTGTACGACCCCTAAATCTTGGGATATTTCAGGGCTCATTTCTGCATCCTCTTCAAGGCAAAAACAAAAAAACAAAAAACCATCTAGATGTTAATCTTCAAATATATATTTCCATAATAGGGTAGATCTCTCCTTTGAGCTCCCAACTCATATCTAACTACTTATTAGATGTCTCTGCTTAGAGTTCTAGCTGGTACATCAGATTTAATATGTCCAAACTGGAGCTCTTATTGTAATAACCTAATCTGTTCCTTCCCTTGATTTTCCCCAGCATAGTAAATAGCATCACTTCATTGTTAAAACAAAGATTCATCCATTTCTTAAAATCCAAATATCAGTTCTAACTCCAAAGTAGATCTCGAATCCATTTACTTCTCTCCATCTCTATCACTACAACCTAATCTTTTTCACCTCCGTCTCTCACCTAAATTACTGCAACCACCTTTTAATATCTCCTAGCTCTCTTTCTAGATCCTCTCTAATCCATTTTTCATATGTCAGCCAGAGTGATCTTTTAAGAAAAAATATTTCAGATGTCATTTTCCTCCCCTATTCAAAAGCTCTCTGTGGCTTCCATTCATCTCAGAATAAAATCGAAACACCTTACCAAGATCTACAAGGCCTGACTTGATCTGACTACTGTCTGCTTCCCTAGTCTTATCTCTCTAGTTGCTTAACTCTATCCAAAGGAGACCCCTATCTGTTCTGAAGATTTATCAAATTATTTTGCATACATTTTACTTCAGGGTATTTGAACTTGCTGCTTACTGAAGCTGATGTGCTCTTCTGCCAACTTCATGCAGAGTTATGGCTTCTTTATTCTGTCTCAGCTTGAATGTCACCACAAAAAAGCCTTCCCTGTCAGTCACTACATCCAAAGGAAGCCTTCCCTCTTTGTTACACCATCCTGTATGTGATGTAAAGTATATGATAGCTCTCTTCAAAATCGGCATTTATCTTGTTTATTTTTTCACCTGTTTATTGTCTATGTCCTCTGTTGGATTGGGATTCTGTCTAAGTTCTTTAAGACTTTACTATTGGTACCTAACACAGAGACTACGAGCACAGAAATGCTAAATAAATATGTACTGAATGAATGAATGAATGAAAGCTTAACAATGAAGAACAGGCTCTAGTTCCATCTCCATGGCATTGTCCCCAAGTCCTTCACATTTCTGACTCCTTAGGGAAGTCATGAAGACTGTGCAAAGCGTTTAGTACTAAGTGCTCAGCAAATACTAGAAATTGTTAAAAAAAAAAAAAATCAGAAACTTCTAAAGGCACTTGAGTGTGCCAAGAAGACAAATGGAATTGAATAATTAAAGTCTGGTTAGTGTATTCTTGAAGAGGCAAGAAAGTTTGTAATGCATTTTAGAAGTCTATCCTTGCATTTAACAGTAGATTAAAAGAATGATCCACCACAACTAAGTAGGATTTTTCTTGGGAATACTGGGATGTCTTAATATTAGGAAAGTTATTAAAATACTAAAAATATCAAGCTAATATATCACATCAATAAATCAAATAAGGAAAAGCATATGGATGCTAAATTTTTAAATTTTTTAAAAATTTGGAACAGGAAAATAATTCTAAAAAGATCTTTATTATTTTGTTAGGTGAAAAAATGTTAAAATTAAAAGCATAGCTAGAAATGAAAAACTGCTAATTTCCTTCATTCTGCTTAGTGACCATTTAGTGACCATTTAGTACTTCTTACCAGACACTCCATTACCTCAGTTACTCTTCGCAACAATGCTATGAACTAGATACTATGATTATTCCCATTTTACAGATGAGGAAACATGCTTACAGAGCTAATGAACTTTTCTAGTGTTACACGCGGTTAATGAATGATAGAGCTGGGATTCAAATTCAGATCTTTCTGACTCTAAATTTCAATGTTAGCCTTTCTACTGTACTTTTTCTTTCATTCTAGAAGTTGATGCTTCAGTTATAGATTTAGTTTTTAATTTTTAAAAATTAAATGAGCAGTATACTACATACATGCTAACTGTGAAAGATTAATAAATAAAAGTAAATTCTAGGGCAAATTCTGACCTTCATTCACTCCCACCCTATTGTTAAAAGTTTGATGTGTGTATCAAAAGGAAAGTTCTTTAGTATGATAAGAAATATCTACCTCAAGTAATAAGTATCATAACAATAACCAAAATTAATTGATCATTAACTATATGCTAGACACTGAAGTACTTCATATTGAATTTTCATTACAGCTCTGAGATTGATAGAATTGTCTTTTTTTCCATTTATAGATTTAAAAACTACCACCTCTGTAATCCAAGCTAACACAGTAGACATTTGCAAAAGCTTCCTAAATGGTGTCATAGTTGCCCTCCTACATTCTATTTTCCAGATGGCAACCAAAATCATCTTTTTAAAAAGCATATATGATGCCTCTTAATCACTTCTTTAAAACTCCTTGTCTTCACATGGCCCTTAGAAGAAAAATACAAACTAAGATTGCCTTCCACTCCCTGGCCATCACTTTCCTCTCTCTCTTGTATTCTTTGCTGCAGTCACCCTGCCTTTTAGTTCTTTTAACTCATTATGCTCTCAGCTGAAATAATCTCTCCCTACCCATCCTCTTTCCACTTTTTGGTTAGCTCCTATTCATCTTTCAGAACTTGACTTATACCTGCCATCATTTTCTGAAGGCCTTCTATGACCCCATAGATCAAGTTGCTTCACTTGATTGGCACCCTGTACTCTCACTCAAATAATACTCATCCCACTTTACTGTAGAGACTTTCTAAATTGTGCCCTTTTAGACTGGAAGATGGTGAGGACCATGACTGAGATTCTCTTTTAACCATCAAACCCCCAGAGCCTGGTGCTGGGATACTCAATATATATTTGAATGAATGAATAAAAGAGTGAATGAATGAATCCATTAATCGTTCCTTTTCTGAAACATTGAAGAATGCCGTTAGTCATAAATTATGAATTTCAGATGTTAAACATAACTCCATAGTTCAAAGTAAATTATGCGGGATGGCATGTTAAACAGTCTTCATCCTGGAAGGCTCTGAATGTGGATGAACTAAAGATTCAAAACTATAATTACAATAAATACAAAGTATAATTAGCCTCTGGTTTGACTTCTTATGAAGCTTAGAAGGGTAAAGGATGGAGATAATATACTTCATTCAATACATTGTTGCTCCTCAATGAATATTAATTGAATTGACTAAATTTACATCTTCGACTGTATCCCAGAGCCTGAGAAACCATGTTTGTCAGTCTAGTTTGTGTTAATTTAGCTGCATAGTTCCAACTTTACAGAGGTTATTTAGTTTCCAGATCTATCAGAACTTGCCTCTGTAGCTTGATGCAAATTTTTTCGTTTGGGAGCAGAAAACGAGAACAGAAAAGAGGGTAAGCTCCCAAAATGCACACTCCCCTGTAATAAGTGGTTCCTAGACCCACCCAACTGGCAAATTCTAACAGTGCAGTAAAAATCATCACCACTAGGTGTCTCAGTGGCCGTGCCACTTCCTCCATCTCCTTGGAAAACAGTTATGTGCACACACTCCATTACTCTATTGTTATTGAGCCTCTAAGCAAACAACCTTTCCGAAGAGTTTATTTCAATACCTGGGTAAATTTTCCAGCAGATCTAATCGGTATCTAGATAACCTCCCTCAGTAATAGAAACATGGGATTAACCATAATCTCTCACTCTGTTATTTCTTTCCTTTGTTTAGAGATAACATGCTGTATGTATGTATGTATGTTGTATGTATGTATGTATTTATTGCTCTATATATATTTATTTATTTATTTATTTATTTATGGGAAAGGGAGGAGTCTTAGCCTGATTATGTTTGTTCTAGCTCATCTTGATCACCTCTCACCTCTACAGTGAACTAAATGTCCTTCCAGATTTTCTCCACACAGGTACCATACAGTCTTAAAGGCATGTATCACTCTTTGACTACAGCTAAATTGACCACTTGGGTTGATTTTAAAGATCAAAAACAGAACCTAAAGAATCACCAAATGGAGGAAGATAGCACAGACACAGATCTTATATATGTGAATTTTTGTCATAAAGAGATATCAGAAATCAATGAGAAAAGAAATAGTCAACAAATGGCATTAGAATAACAAGTTTATAAAAAAAATTATCAAACTAATTCCAGGAGGATTAAAAAGATAAACATATTTTAAAACATATCCTGAAAGAACAAGAAAAAGTAGAATATCAGATCTTTGTCAGTAAAAGAAATTTTTAAGATTTAATATAATAAAATAAATTACAAACCAAATATCAATAAATTTCACTGCATGAAAATTAGAAATCACCATGTGAAAAAACAAGACAATAACAAAATTGAAGGTCAAACTGAAAAAATAATTACAAAGAAAAATTATACTAAGTTGCTAATAAACAATAAACAAGATCCCAATAAACAGCCCAAATAAATGAACAACCATGTGGAAAGTATTTGTCTTCACTGATAATTTCAGAAATGTAAAGTAAAATGAGGTAACCATTTTTTATCCAAGTTAACAGAAATTGAAACAGCCACTCCTGATATAACCCTTTTGTAAAATAATTTAGCATACCCTTTAGCAAATGCATTTTCTCTCTCTCTCCCTCTTTCTCTTTCTCTCTCCCTTTCCCCAATCACTCTCTCTTTCCTCTCTTGCTCTTTCTCCTCCTTCTTTCTCAGTCTCCCTCTCCCTTCAGCTCTCTCCCCCTCTCTCATTCATTCATTTTTATTCAACAAATACCCTCTGTGTGCCCGCTGGGTGCTGGAATCTCAAATTTACTCAGTTCAACATGACTAGTCATAGCCTCAAATTGAAAACCTCCAACATTGTCATCCATAGACAAGGTGACCAAATATCTTATTTTGTTCAGGACTCTTGGTTTATGCCTGATGTCCTAGTGTAATTATTAAATGGTGCCCTCTGTTAACAGCTTTCTGGCTGATGGCAGTCACGTGAGGTTGGGTGATTTCTGGTTTAGTTTCTATTTTTCTGTAATTTTCAGATTTTTTAAAATGGACTTTATATGCATATGGGCTTTACATGGATTAACTCATTTTATTTTCAAAAACTTATAATTATTTTTTTTCTTATTTCACTGCTTAATTTAAAGATGAGGAAATCGAAGTACTAAAAGATTAAGTTATTTACCTAGAGTCACAGAGTCATTAAGTGGTGGAACCAAGATTTATACCTAAGCAATCTATTTCCAGATCTTTGAACACTAAGGTAGCGTACCCATAGTAATAACTATATCTAATTGGCCTTGTTATTCATTTATGGGAGAAGAACGATTACCTATGCTCATAAATGTTCTTTGAAAAGTGCTTACAAATAATAGCCCCAAAAAGTCCCTCTTTATTTCTTAGAAACAAAATCTTTTCTCTTAAGTCCACTAATTAGAAACACATTAAAAATATAAATAGTCTATTTAAAAAAAAAACATAAGATGCAAAAATTCATGAACAAATAAGTAAACCATAAGAATCTCAAACACCAAGTTATAAATGTCTCTTTTGATATATGGTTATATTTCTTTTTAAATTTCAATGTACGTAAAATACAATAAAAATATCTGTTTTATATGTGTTGGTGGACAAATAATATTTTTCTTACATGATTAAAGTAAATTAAACAATATGCACTACTATTTAAATGAGGAAATGTAAAAAAGTATGTATACTTTATGAGCGTTATTAAATATTTATAAAAACTGTATAATGCTACCTTTAATTATATGTTAATCTAAAATAAACTTATGATTACATTTTGATTATATACTACAGAAGGACAAAATTTAAATTGTCTCCTTAAAAGGGACCCTGGTATATTTAAGTATCACCTCACCAGTCTGAATCATAGTATGCTGGTACCAATCAATTAAATTCCCTTTAATGGGCTCAAGTGTTCCCAAGTCTTGGCTGTAGCTTTCTCATCCATTGTGTGTTGACATTTCCTAGTTTTATTCGCAGACATTGGAAGCAGTTTAGGACAGCTCTGAAATGAAACAGATTCAGATTCCCATTCCAGCTCCATCTCAGGCCATTTGTCCTTGGGCAAGTTTCTGAACCTCCCTGAGCTTCATTTTCCTCACTCGTAAAATAAGAACAATACTTTCTAGTGTTGGCTTGAGGGTTGAGTGAAATGGGTCACACCGAGCACTAACATGGTCTGGCTTCTAGTAAATTCTCAATTAAAGTTAGTTATCATTGTGATGTCCAATTTCTGGGAACTTAATTGGGGCTCTTATGTAGTGACTCCAGTTAGATGAGGTTTGGAAAAAAACCTCATTGGCTTGAGCAAGAAAGGACACAGTGGAAGCACAGCTTCAGCGACATTTCTCAAGAGTACATAAGGGAACAACCTGGAAGGGCAAGGCAAAGAAGGCAAGATCATCGAGGCAGTTAGATTTTGGCCACACATGCTCGGCACTGCAGGGGGATATCTGGGGCAAGCTGGATTGAATTTTAATATCCTTCAGGTCACAAAGAGGATAGGCTTGCTGTATTCCTGACACTGCAGTGAAAACCGGTTTTGGTGCTGGCTCTCCCCTCCTAATCACTGGGGCTGCTGCAAGAGCACTGAAAGAGTCTTTGTCTCATCTGCCTCCCTTCCCTCAAGCCCAGAATAGGGCCTAAGCACCAGGTTAAGAGCCTCTATTCAAAACTCATTATCATCACATAACATGCCTAGAGGCTCCATTAACATAGTACCACAGGAATAGGGGCACAACATGGGAGGCAACATGCCTTGAAATCCCTTTGCCATCTTTCAAAGTTCGATATTGGATCAAGGTTGTAAGGACTAGATGAAATGATATATATTTAGTACATTGCTTACCACAAAATATTGGCTGTTATTCCTCTGTACCTCCATGCTTCACATGACCCGGAATGCAGTGGCCATTGGTTGATTAAAGGTCTTCTTTCCTGGGTTTCTTTAGGCAGGGCTTATCACTTGGTCCTTTGGGCTCCTGAACTCCCCATTCTTGGTCTGCCATTGTACTTATCACTCTTTTTCTACTGTCCGCTGACTTGCATGTTTCCTCCACAAGGCTGTGAGTTCTCTAAAGGGATCACATCCTTTGTAAATTCCTATCATAGATGCTTAACAAGTATTTCATGATTGTTCAATGAAGCAACGTACACTGATAAAAGAACGCATTTTGGAATCTTTATAGACCTGGATTTGAATCCTAACCTCAGCATTGAAGATGCGTTTCCCTAGTAAGTTACTTTACTGAAAACAAGGATGATGATAACTTCCTCCTAACATTTGTGAGGATTAAAAACGATAGTTTAGGAAAGGATGTAGCCCCGGACCTGGCCAAGTAAATGAGTTCCCTTCCTCTTCTAGGAATTTATGCTGAAAATACAGATCTCTTGGACTCTGAGTTTCCTTCATTTCTAGAATTCTCATGGAGTAAGAATACATGAGATAAATGTTAAGTACAAGTATGTCTTTGGCTAAGCAATGGCTGTGTTAGCTGAAGGAAAAGTCTAATGAGTTATTAGACTTATAATTAAGTTATAAATAAGTCTTCGTTGATGTCCTACAATACTGGAAGAAAATATATTCTCCTTGGGGGTAATTCAAGAAACATTACTCACAGAGGGGAAAGTCTGGGGCAGGAGTCATCAGGGAGGCCCGGCTCCACTCCCCCACCTCAGGCAGCAGCATTTCTTCCCAGCTCTCTTCACAGACACTAATAGACCCTGCTGAGTGCATCCTCCTCCTCCCCTGGGGCTTCTTTGTGAATCACCCCAACCAGACCAAAGCTGGAAACAGAACTCTGGATTCATCAGGCCTGGTGGATGGCTGACAGCAGGAACTGAGTCTAACAGAGGGGGTTGGATTTTAAATAAACACAAATCCGATTGGACCGAGTGTAAAAGATGATGAGAAGGGAAGGTAAAACCTAAGGGGTAAATGGAGAGATTTTCCTATGAATGCCCATGTAAACCAGATTCCGAGGTTGTGTAGTCACTCCTCCCCCAAATCCTGATTACCCACCTCCCCCACTGCCTTTTCACTGCTTGCTGAATTTAGACCACAAACCACGTGCCTGCTGCCTCTTCAGAGCCCTCCAGGGAGTGAGAATCTGATGCTTCTGAAGCAGCCCAGTGATCCACCGCACAAAGTCAAACAGTCTGCTCCTTCTGTTTTCCGCAGTTGGCCCCAATTATTTGGGTGGAAAAGATGCAGTCATATAAGAGAAGACTGTAGGATTCAATGGTCAAAAATTCTGAACAGCATATTTGCAAAACTGGATTAAATCTATCACCTACCTCCAAATCCTTTGAATTATTTTAGCACTCATTCACCACTGTCCACTGCCTCCATTCTCTTTCCCATTGCCTTCCAACTACGGTCCACTCGGTGGAGAACGGCCCCTTCCTGCCCTGACTGTCTTCTCTAAGTTAAAAAAATTTCAGAAAATTACCTCAGCCTCACAAGTTAAAACCGCCCCTTCCTGCCCTGACTGTCTTCTCTAAGTTAAAAAAATTTCAGAAAATTACCTCAGCCTCACAAGTTAAAACCATGATTTAAAAAAAAAAAAAAAAAGCTCAAAAACCTTAATTTTAAAACTGCACCTCCAACCTCTTGGGATATTATACCCAACTCCATATGAAAATTGTCCTATGCTATGTTTCTCATCCTGTTAAAATTCTCATGAACTTATCTACTCCTAGATGTCTTCAATCAGTTTCTTTCTTATGAAATAAAAGCAACGACAAAACCCAAAAATGTTTCAGGAAATAGAGACAAACTCACTTCCGAGAGGCAGTAAGCACAGCTTTTAGGAAACATACTCTAGAGCCAGCCTGTCTGGGTTTGAATCCTGAGTCTGCCATTTACTAGTTATATGGCTTTGTCCCAGTCCCTTAATCTCTTTGGACCTTGAGAGAGGTTTCCTCATTTGTAAAATGAGGATGATAATAATAGTACTTTTACCATCAAGAGAATTAAATGAATATTTAAAGCACAAAGAGTACCCCGCATGTGAGATATATCATAAAAACATATGCTCTTACTTTACTAGAATGTAGATTTGAACTCCAATATGTAGATTGCAACTGGAATTTATATCCTTTGTCTTTAACAGCTCAGCCACCCTGGTACATTTTGACAATCCACTATTTCCAGTCCATTCGAATCGTGCTTCAATCTTATACCTTTCTCCTACTTGGCCATTTGAAAACTTGTTTTTCTAAGAAAAAAGTAACTTTCATCCATGAAAAAGAGAAATGTACCCATCTGGTCAGAACTCCTGCTTTGGTGAAACCATAGTGGCTCAGTTTCTAGGTTTGAAGAGATTTCAACTCATGGAAATGAGATTATTTGCTAAGTTGAATGAAGAATAACGCTTAAAAAGGACATAAAAGATTGATCTGTAAGTTAGACGAGTCAGCAGAGTCCACAATCGTAGACAACAAAGATGAATTTCAATGGCTCTTAATTTAGCTCCTGTCACAACCACACAATTGCAGTTGTACTTTGAAAGTTCACCTATGTCCCTTTTGAGTCAGTCCAGGTTTTTCTTTACACCTCGTCCATTCTGAATCTTCATAATTTCTTCTTGGTTCTGTACCAAAGCCTATAAGATGCTAAGAGGAATGCTCAGGGGACAGTGACAAGGGTACAGTCAAAAGGTTATAAGGATCCTCCACTAAAAAACCGAACAGTGGAGGTAATATGTAGCCTAGAAAAGACTGAGGGAAACAGATGCAAATTGAACCAAAAGCTGCTGGGACAGACTTATTACTGTCTCTCCTTTTTTTCTTTTCTATTTGCTTTCCTAAGTATAAACTACATTACAATGAAGAAACACCTTTCTTGGGAGGATGTAAACAATTATAACTATGTAGAAAAGTTAATAATGTTTATATTTTTTCATGGCACTTACCTAATTTATCATTTTATTAGTTGGCTTCTTGGTTTTTGTCTGTTATTCTACAACAGTGTAAGTTCTTGGAGGGCAAGGAACAAAACTTTGGTCTTGCTTACCCTCTTATCACAATGCCAGGTATATTGTTATAGATTTTAACATAGAAAACAAGCTATAAAAATATTAGAAGGAGATACTGGAAAATATTATTTTTACATTCTTGGGGAACATCAAAACTTCCTAAACAAGAAAGAAAATCAAGAAGTCATAAAGAAAAAGTTAACTAGATCTGACTACATAAAAAAAAACAAACAAACAACTTTCTACCTGAAGAATAATAATAACCAGCAATTATTTGTCATTTTATATGTGCCATTATCTGTTCCAAGCATTTTACACCTCTTAACTCATTTAAGCATCCTAGGATAATCTTAGGATGCAGGCACTGTTACCTCCCTTTTACAAATAGAGAAACTGAGGCCCGACAAGATTAATACTTTGCTCAAGATTATTAAGTGGTAGAATCTGAATTTGAACTAATGCAGTCTAGTTCTATATATCAATAAGAAACACAGATAATCTAGCTGAATTATTGGGAAATAATGTGATTCAAAAATTCACTGAAGAAATAAACACATATGGTTAATAAATATCTCTCACCAGTGAGTAATGATTCCTAAAACTATAACAATAGTGAGCTACTACTTTTTACCCTTTTGATTGGCAAAAAGTAAAATATTGCTAATACTGACAAAGGTGTGGGAGGTAGAAAAAACCGGTAAAACCGATTTTCTTATTGTATTCAATGGGTTATTTTTCATTACTATTGCTAATGTTCGACTAACCAATGAGTGTTGGTTCTCAAATTGTTCCAGATTTGACCAGTGAGAGCCCCTTCAAACTGGCTCATATGTCCTTCTGATATGTCCCATCATTCTTTGAGTACTACTTACTTTCCGGCACAACAAGATATTTTCAGGCTCATTCTGTCCCAGCCGTGTAATCAGTCATTTTTCTAAGGGGCCCTCCTACCTGGTTCCTCGTAAACCAAATATATTTGGTGTTATTGTAGTATCATTGCTTTTAAGTCCTCTTGAAGGGCTGGCTAGAAAATGAATGTAAGTAAAAATGCTTAATTATAAATGGTAAGTAAAATAATCCAGACAGAAAATTGTGTATATGGTATGGTAGTTTTTATTAAACACACACACACACACACACACACACACACACACACACACGGATAGAGCAAAGGGCTAAATTATGGCATTTGAGGTGATTTTTAAAATGTTTTATAGTGTTTATTATAGTAAAATTTCCTCTTGAAAAACATTAGTGATTTTGGTCCATATCTTATTATCTATTTGGCTTTAAAACATTTTTTTACATTATTTACAAAATAAATTGCAGGGTTGTTTTTTTTTAATTTTATGTAATTTTTTCTTAACCCTTGGAACATTAGTTTCAAGTAACTACAAAAATAAAAACATGGCAAACTAAATGTACCAAGAAGTATATATTGAACATATTTAATTACCACACTAATCTAAAAGTCCTAATGATTACTTCTTAAGATTAATATTTATTAACATGAAGTCATTTGAGAATCTCTGGGATTTCTCTATTACCCACAGTGAGAATATGAATAATCCCTTCTTTCCACTTTCCACTACTGACAATCTTTATGTAACAGTCATGTTTCCCAATACTGGAGTTTCAGTTCCATCATCTACAAACTCACCTGTCATCTACATTGGGGTGATTTTTTAAAATTCATTTCAACTTATAGTCCAAAATAGGGCATGTTATTTTTAAATTTACTTAAGTAAAATAAAATACTTAAATTATTTTAAATTACTTTTTCAATAAACTTTCTTTTAGAGTAGAGTTAGATTACATAAAAGTTGCAAACATAGAACAGAGAGTTCTCTTCTACCCCACACTCATAATACATTATTATGAATGAAAGTCCATATTTTATTCAGATTTACTTAGTTTTTACTTAGTTTTTAGTACTTTTTCTGTTCCAGGATCTCATCCAGGATACCACATACATTTAGTCATTGTGTCTCCTTAGGCTCTTCTTGGTTGTGACGGTTTCTCAGACTTTCCTTGTTTCTGATGACCTCGATAGTTTTAGGAGCATAGAGCAGTATTTTGTAGGATGCTCCTCAATTGGGATGTGTCTAATATTTTTCTCATAGTTAGACAGATGTTACAGATTTTTCAGAGGAAGACCACAGAAGTGAAGTACCATTTTCATCATATATTAAGAGTACTTATATAACTTGTTGATATGTTGATATGTTATTTTTATAATGAAAAAATAAATGAGTTTTTTAAAGTTCTGCCTAAGAACATATGAAATACATTTTCATATGTTAGCTTAGATTGAAAGTTTGGCTGCTACTCCAAAAAGAAATAAAAATGTTAAAACATGATAGAAGTTAATTTCTTTCTCTGAAAAAGATTTAAACACAGCAATCCAGAGCTGATAGGGCAATTTGCTTCACAAGGTTGGTAAAAGACCCAAGTTCCTTCTATCTTACGGTTTTGTATTCCTTAACAAGCACTTCCATGGCTATAATGAAAGCTTCCATGGTTGCTTGGCTAAGATGGGTGCTCTAGAGCAGTGGTCCCCTGTGAACCTGTAGGGTCTTAATTGCCTTCAGTTCAAAATAATTCATGTACCAAAGTGGTATTTGGGGGAGGCTTGCTCTGAACCCCTGCAGGGTCAGGGCAGAGATAGAACTGGGGTGCTTTGCAAGAGATACCTCAGCTGATCCCACTAGGAGCTCTGAAGCTGGGATGTTCTAAGACGGTGGTCAACCTTTTTGACACCAGGGACCAGTGCTCTTATGAGAATCTAATGCCTGATGATCTGAGGTGGAACTGAGACAGTGATACTAGTGCTGGGGAGCAGCTGCAAATATAGATGAAGCTTCGCTAGCTCACCTGTTGCTCACCTCCTGCTGTGTATCCTGTTCCTAACAGGCCAAGGACCAGTACTGGTTCATGGCCTGGGGACTGGGGACTCCTGCTCTGGAGCCTGCCATCACAAACATATCTTTTAAAGATATACCTGGAAATTG